CATAAGACATCTTTGTACTTTTCAGGGAACAAAAAAAAACAGAAAAAAAAGTAAGAACAACCTTTGGGAACACTACAGTCCTAAGGGCAGTTTCATTTGTTAGGATATCTCTGGGTGTCTTGCATGTTGTAAACACTATTTTAAGTCTGAAAAGAACAGCAATATTATTAGCATATCTTGGGTTCGTTGCTGTCTCTAATCTCCTGTCAAACATCTCATTGTGATCCACCTTTGTTAACATGTTTCTCTCAACAAGTTATTCGAAAGGATAATTAGATTATAAAAACTACATACAAATAAATACTGTCCAGGTGTCCCATGACACCTTTTAGTAAAACCTTCTTGATCAGCAAGTTCTGGTATAAAAGAGGAAGAGTCTAGTAGAACCTTAAAGACGAACAAAATTTGTAGCAGGGGATGAGCATTCGTGAGTCACTGCTCACCTCTTCAGATAAGAGCAGTAATTCACAAAAGGTCATACTCTGCCACAAATTTTGTTAGTCTTTAAGGTGCTCCTGGGCGCCTGCTCTTTTCTACTGCTAAAGACAGACTAACACGGGTACCTCATCTTGATCTATCTCCAAGTTCTGGTATGATCTCCAAGTGCATCTGATCTGTTTTCCAGCTACACAATTCTTGCATAACTTATCTTCCCCACCCCCCCAAAAAAACCAACTTTTCTTAACATGCAGGGGTATTGGCCCTGTCATGTATTTCATACTAATATCCTAAGTGGTTAGGAGCGGGCACTCTAATCTGGGAGAATTGGGTTTGATTCCCCCCTCCTCCACTTGCACCTGCTGGAGTGACCTTGGGTCAGTCGTAAGTCCTTTCAGAGCTGTTCTCTCAAGGATAGTTGGGAGCAGCTCTCTCAGCCCCACCTACCTCACAGGGTGTCTGTTGTGGGGAGGGGAAGGGAAAGGAGATTGTAAGCCGCTCTGAGACTCCTTCGGGTAGTGAAGGGCAGGATATAAATCCAATCTCTCCTTCATTAGTCAAAAAGATTTTATTTTATATTTATTTATTTATATATTAAATTTGTTAATCGCCTGATCTACCCAGAAGTAAGTCTTGTTTTATTCGGCAAGGCTTACTCCCAGGGAAACTTCTCAGGATTACAGCCTCAGCCATGGGTTTTCTCTTTACCCAAAGACAGAAGCCCTCTATGATAGCTTTGGTTCTATTAAATTTTCCTTTGACTTCAATCTTCTGCTTTTTATTTATTCTATTTTTCTTCTCTTTCATTATCATTTTCCTCCCCAGTTTTGAGTTTCACATGCTGTAAGAAGCTGATATTCTATATTGCTATGATACTAGAATCATGATCTGTTTTGCCATAAAACTCCACGTGTACATAGTTTCTGCAGAGTAGCTGTGTTGGTTTGCTGTAGAAGAGCTGGATTTGATGGCATCTTAGAGACCAACACGTCTTTTAGGGCATAAACTATAGGACAAAGTTTGAGTCCAGAGCACTTTTAAGACCAACGAAGTGTAATTCTGGGTATTATTAAATTTGTTAATTGCCCAATCCCTGTGATGCAGGGCTCTGGGCGACGTACAACATTCATAAAAACATCCAGATAAAATGATTAAAATATTAACAATATTAACATCAGATAAAGAAAACTTCCTTCTGTCAATGTGATTTTATCCTCTTGGGCCCAACAATTTTGTAAACTGAGGATCAAGTGTAAGCACATCTACCCAGAAGTAAGTCTCAATTTGGCAAGGCTTACTCCCAGGGAAACTTTTTAGGATTACAGCCTCAGCCATGGGTTTTCTCTTTACCCAAAGACAGAAGCCCTCTATGATAGCTTTGGTTCTATTAAATTTTCCTTTGACTTCAATCTTCTGCTTTTTATTTATTCTATTTTTCTTCTCTTTCATTATCATTTTCCTCCCCAGTTTTGAGTTTCACATGCTGTAAGAAGCTGATATTCTATATTGCTATGATACTAGAATCATGATCTGTTTTGCCATAAAACTCCACGTGTACATAGTTTCTGCAGAGTAGCTGTGTTGGTTTGCTGTAGAAGAGCTAGATTTGATGGCATCTTAGAGACCAACGCGTCTTTTAGGGCATAAACTATAGGACAAAGTTTGAGTCCAGAGCACTTTTAAGACCAACGAAGTGTAATTCTGGGTATAAACATTTGTGTGCATGCACACTTGGTCGCATTTCCTACCTTAAGCTTTGTCGGTCTTAGAGGTGTCACTGGACTCAAACTTGTTCTACTGCTTCAGATTAACACGGCTACCCACCTGAACCTAGGGCATAAACTACCAAGAGTCAGAATTCCCTTTGGTATAAAGGTAAGTTTCACCCTTGATAGCTTATAGGCCAGGAATCCTCTTGGTCTCTAAGGATGCTAATGGACTCAGATCTAGCTTTTCATGGGTACATAATTCATCAATCCTGGACTTCCTTTGTAACCGTTCCCAATTTCTGTTGTGTTCTTCCAGCATTCCAGTGGTCACACCTTGACTTTGCTAAATGGGATTTAACACCACCTGTCTGGTCCTCAACCGGTTCTCTTTTGACAAACAGACGTTTGAATGTCATGTAACACAGTTTAACCTTTGTGTGGATCTCAGCACCACAACTCAAGAACAATCCACAATATTAGCAACTCCACAAACACTATCAACTTGTTTGTCTGGAATTCCTCTAGAAATAATTTCCTTAGTTTTCAGAATTCTCCTTTAAGTCATTCAACTGTACAGTATTATTTATATTGAAATCGTTTAACCCCCTTTATTAATATTTCATAATGACTAATTACAATCCATACTATATTTAACCCCCTTGGTCAGTATTTTATAATTACTATTCACAATCCATAATTACTATATTTTAACCCCCTTTATCAATATTTCATAATTATTACTCACGATCCATAATTACTATTTCATAATTAGACACCTGATCCTATATTTCACTATATTCTGATACTCAAAATACTTTTAAAATCTTACTTATCTTCAGTGACTGGCATGTCCTTCTCCTGCCCCCACCAGTTCTTCAATTATAATTTTCAGTCCCAAAACTGAGAAGAGCTTTTACTTTGGCAAGACTGAGATCGATTTCCCATGGCGCTCACTCCTCTCTTTGCCCCATGGTACGTGTCAATTTCCCACTTGAAGCCGCACGGTCGTATTTTGACCTGCGACTTCGCCTGATTTGCCCCGCGGTTTCATGATCCTGTTTTTACGAAACCGCAGGCAAAATCGGGCAAAGCCACGGGTCAAAATGCGGCTGCGCGGCTTCGATTGGGAAACTGACACGTACCATCGGGGCAAAGAGAGGAGCAAGCGCAGAGCAGCAGCTGTGGGAAATCGGTCTGAACATTCTTCCCTCGGCAGTCTTGGAGGGCAGATATAATAACGTATCGTACTCTAATAGAACATGCAGATGCTCATATCATACAATCGAAACCACTGAACATATGATTATGGAGTGCCCTATATTTGATGAGTTGAGGGCTAATTTAGTCATCCCTTTACTTAAAGATATGGAACTGCTAAATGTGCGAGCCCAGGTGTCATGGGTACTATCGGATACCAGTGATCGTGTCACCCTCTCAGTGGCAAAGCTCATAGGTGCAATAATCAAATATAAGAGAAATAATACCGAGTAAGGACTTTTAGAATATTTTCTTTGGTTCTCATTTCTGCTTAAGGTGATAGCCGTGTGAGCAGTACTAGATAGATAGGTAGAATTATAATTTTCATTTGTTTGTTGACCTATTTAAAACGTTGTATATTCATTTTCTTAGAGCTGGATTCGAGTCCAGTAAAACCTTAGAGACCAAACAAGATTTTCAGGGCCCAAATTTCTTGCAAACTCATTACCCTTAAAATCCTACTGGTCTTCAAAGTGCTACTGGACTCGAATCTTGCTCTTTTCAGAACACCTGCACAGCTACCTTCTCCAAAACTATATGCATTTTCTTAAAGCGTGCTAGCGTTTTTCTAGGAATCACTTTGAAGTCTTGTTTCTTTCTTTTTATCTCTGTGTAAAAATGATTTTTTAAAAACCGTCTGCCTCTGTTTTGTTTGCACATAAGAGTTTTTCCTCATTTACTTTCTACCGATGATCTGTCAACGACTTTAAAGTTTCACAGTCAAATGCAGCAGTTGACAAAATCACCACAAATTGGGCGCTGCCCTCACACTCTGCTTGGTTACACCATCTCAGCTCTGCCAATGGAAGTCTACTGCAATACCGTGTGCCTGGTACACAGCTTGTTTCTGTGCAAGAGGCTGACTGTATTTGTCAGTCATCTCTGAGAGAATGTCTTTATACAGCTAATAAGATGGAAATAAGCCACTGTGGTGTAGCAGTTAAGGGTGGTGGACTAGTATTTGGAAGAGCTCCTGTCATGGAAGCTTGCTGAGTTAACTTTTGCCAGTCACACTTTCTCAGCCTGTCCTACCTCACAGGACTGTTGTGAGGATACAATGAATAAAGTAAAGAGAAGAAGAGATTGGGTTTATACCAGGCCCTTTACTACCCAGAGGAGTTTCAGAGTGGTTTACAATCCCTTCCCCTCCCCACAACAGACACTCCGTGAGGTAGTTGGGGCTGAGAGAGCTCTTCCCAGAATGGCTCCTGAGAGAACAGCTCTGAAAGAACTTATAACTGACCCAAGGTCACACCAGCGGCTGAATGGGGAGAAGCGGGTCCCAGATTAGAGTCCCCGGTCTTTACCACTACGCCAAACTGTTTCTTAACAAGGACAGCCGCTTTTGCTCCCCATGGGGGAGAAAGGTGGAATACAAATGAGTTCAAATAATCCAGCCGAAGGGAAGGCGACTCGGACACGTGGGTGCTTTTCTAGGCAGCCTGTCCTACCCGCTATTTGGAAGGCTATTTGGAAGGCTGGCGTGCCACCCTCTCTCTCCCCGCCTATCCTCGCCACGCTCTTCTGCCGGCGTTGGCTTGGCTCCCTTGCGCTCCGGCCGACGGGCTTCGTTCAAACGTCCAAATGAGGGCTGACCCCACGAGGCAGGTTTGCCGCCCCGAGAGCAGGACCCGCACGAGCCCCCTCACGCTCTTTGCCGGCGGGCTTCCTGCTCCACGGGCTCCCACCCCACTCCGGGCTTCGTTTGCGCCCAGCTCCCACGCCGGGAGCGCCAGCCGCCCCAGGGCGCCTCTCCTCAGTCTCCCCCTCCCCGGAGCCGCTGCCCGCCTGGGCGAACGACTCGCTCCCGGGGGACCCCCCTCCGCGGCGCCTACCGCAAGAAGCAGAAGCGCCGCCCGCGCGCACCAGCCGCTCCACCTCCCGCCGCGCATCGCTCCGCTCTCGGCTGACCGGGAAGCCAGGCGCGGCGCTCGCCTGGACCTTGCGCACCAGCCGCTCCACCTCCCGCCGCGCATCGCTCCGCTCTCGGCTGACCGGGAAGCCAGGCGCGGCGCTCGCCTGGCCCTTTAAGCCGACGGGGAGGAGGAGAGGGAGGTGGAGCGCTGGAGCCCAGCCCCGCCCCGCCCGCGGGGATTCCCTCCGGCCCGCGAGGGCTCCGTCGGGCCCGTGCCCATGATTGACTGGGAGCTCGCCTGGCCTCGTGGAGAGACCCTTTCGCAAGCAGCGCTGGACGGGGTGGCGAAGGGGACGACTCGGGGCCGATTCCTGTGGGTTGTTGCCCGGAGCTCCCGAATCGCTCAGCCCACGTTAGGTTGCCAATCTCCAGGTGGTGGCTGGAGATCTCCCCGCTGTTTCAGCGGGTCTCCGGGCAACAGAGATCAGTTCTCCCCGGGAGAAAAGGCTACCTAGCAAAGTGGACTCTTATCTAGGAAATTATACCCCACTGAAGTCCCCCCCGCTCCCTAAACCCCACCCTTTTAGACTCCGTCCTCAAAATCTCCAGTTATTCCCCAACCTGGAGCTGGCATGAGCAACAAAGGGCACTCCGTTCCCCCCTCCCCGTGTCTTTGTGATCTCTCCAGAGAGGAGGACAGAAGAAGCAGGTCCTGTGCCATCGAGTAGCTCCCAGCTTATGGCGACCCCTAAGAATTAATCAAGATGGGTAGCCACCTTAGTCTGTCTGTAGCAACAGAAAAGAGCAAGAGTCCAGTAGCACCTGAAAGGCTAAGAAAAAAGTGGCAGCAGATGAGCTTTCCTGAGTCACTGATCACTGCTTCAGATACTGAAGAAGTGATGGGTAGCCAGGTTAGTCTGTAGCAGTAGAAAAAGGAGCTGTGGTGGCTCAAGTGGTTAAGACACTGAACTGCAGGCTGTGGAAGGTTGGTAGTTCAGCAGTTCAAGACCCGAGTGTGCCGCATGACGGAGTGAGCTCCCGTCTCTAGTTCCAGCTCCTGCCAACCTAGCAGTTCGAAAGCAAGAAACTGCAAGAAGATAAACTACAGTGGGAAGGTAACAGTGTTTCGTGCACCTTGGTGTTTAGTCATGCCGGCCACATGACCATGGAAGTGTCTTCGGACAGCACTGGCTCTTCGGCTTTGAAATGGAGATGAGCACCTCAACCCTAGAGTCAGATTCGACTGGCTTTCGAGCAAGGGAACCTTTACCTTTACCTTTTTAGCAGTAGAAAAGAGCAAGAGTCCAGTAGCAGATATCTGAAGAAGTGAGCAACGACTCACAAAAGCTCACATATACCCTGCCACATATTTTTTTAGTCTTTAATATGCTGCTGGACTCTTGCTCTTTTTTACTCCTATGAATTAATATTCCCCAAAATGTCTTATCGATAATGGTCTTGCTCAGGTCTTGCAGACTGAGGACCTTGGCTTCCTTGATTGGGTCAATCCATCTCATAATGGCACTTCGTCTTCTCCTACTGCCTTCGACTTTTCCTAGCATGATTGTCTTTTCCAGTGAGTCTTGTGGTCTCATTATGTGACCATCTCAGGCCTACATTTAAAAAGAGATGCTCCTTGCACTGCATGGGCCTCATGTTAAGCTTGGGTTCGATTTCTGTTTGCTGAGGGTGCCATTTTCCGATGGTTCTGAGAAAGAACTGGAGAATGTGAGATTATATCCTCAGGATGGGGTGAGCAGTACAAAACAATTCCTGCCTCAAGAACTGCATGGTTCTCCTTCAGAACTATTGTTCTTCTATTTCATTCATTCATTCGGACTCCATCAGTCTCCCCAAAGGGGACACAAAGCTGCTTCCATCATTATCCCCTCCATTTCCCCCTCACAACAACCCTGTGAGGTAGGCTAACCTGAGGGACAGTAACTGGCCCAAGGTCCCCCAGTGAGCTTCCATGGCACAAGTGGCAATCTGAACCTCAAGTCTTCCTGATACTAGTCCGACACTCTCAAGTTCCAGGGCTCTTTTTGTAGAAAAAGCCCAGCAGAAACTCATTAGCATATTGGGCCACACCCCTGACAGCATAGCTCATTAGGCCGCACCCCCATGTTACCAGAAGTGTGGTTATCCAGCCACACCCACCTTTTGCTTGTTATTCTGTTTACCTTGTTTGTTGTCAAAACCCAGGGCTTTTTTGTAGCAGGAACTCCTTTGCATGTTAGGCCACACACCCCTAATGTAGCCAATCCTAATGAGTTTCTGCTGTTGGGTGTGGCCTGTTATGCTAATGAGTTCCTGCGGGGCGGGGCCAACTTGGGAGCCAGCCGGAACTCCACTCCGTTCCTGTGCGTTCCTGCCCAAAAATAGTCCTGCTCTCAACCACTACACCACACTGCCTCCTATCTTTCCTTCTCTCATCCCTGAGCTGCTGTCTGTCTCACATGCATAAGGAGGGGACCTTTCTTCCAGGAAGGCTTAACAATTAAACACCCCTGTTTTCTTTAAAAAAACAAAGAAGCAAAGGGAAGCTTCTAATGTCACCTGGGATTGCCACTTTTCATAACAGCTTAATATGCTGCAATGGAGACAAATAAGAACGTTTCCTCGTGTCTGTGCATCACGCCACTGTGCATCACGTCACACAAGGGCAGCCAGGTTAGCTTTGCAGGTCAGCTGGCAAATCGACCATTCCTAAACTTATGCTGCTCCTCCAAACCGCATCTACTGTTTATAATCCATTTGTTGACAGGAATTCGCGTTGTATTCCAAAACTTTGCTCCCAGGTAACTGTGTAGGAGAGGAGACTGCAGCCTCAGGGCAAGAGAGAACTTGAGTGCAAGTGTCTTAGACAAAAGAAGGTCTCTGGTTCTTACATCAGAGGGAGGGGCTCAGGGCGCCACCATATTGTCAAAGTTAAGCTTGAACACAAACAGGACACGTCACTGCAAGTTTGCCAACGGTCGGGATTTATTTACTTATGGGGGGGGAATTACATGTCACTGTACTGGAGACCTGCTCCAGGTAGCTCAAGTAAGAGGCTACAAGTGTGCGTGCGTGTGCGCACTATTAAGTCACAACAAACTCATGGTGACCCCATGACCGTGGGATGTTCAAGGCAAGAGATGAGCAGAGGTGGTTTGCTATTTTCAGCCTCCTTGGTGGTCTCTCATCCCAAATACTGACCAGGGCCAATCATGCTTAGCTTCCAAGCTCTAGCAAGATCAGATTAGTGTGGACTATGAGAGCTGCTACAGGCTACAAGTAGTGATATAGCATTTCTAGACATTTGGAAACTATGGAATAAAGAGTGTGTGTTTTCCATCCAGGAAATAGTGGACATTTTGAGGGAAATTGAGATCTATGCAATACTTTCTTTTTTTAATCGAAACTAAACTTGTGGTGCTGTTTTAACAACACAAAATGTATGATTTATGACTTAACTGGCATATAACATTGAACACAGGTTTATTTATGGGTTTTAAAAGTATAAATACCTTCATTTTCTACAAGCAAAACTACAGAATACTTAAGAGAGAGCTTGCAGATCGCTGTACCTTGTGCTGCCTTAGCACATATATCTTAATTTTTGCCGTCTGAGACGTAGGAAGAAATAACAGTTGAAATGAGAAGATAAATGTAGTAAAGAAAAGAATATACTTGGACTGAAACGGCCTCATGTAGCCATAATCCATAGGTCTACTAGTTTATATGAATGTTGAGTTTACCTACAGAACAGAGACTCTACAGTATACATAGAGATTATCTAATGCTATAAGTTGTCTCATATTTTCATGCTGTACATTCTGAGAAAGACCTTAAACAGCATTTCACTCATTCTGAAAAGAAAAAAATAGACATTTTTAACTGCTATCCCAAAATTCCCAATTTTCCATCAGAAAAATGTTAGCAAAAAACTGCTATCAGATTTCCATGCTGTATTTTTAAGTGAGTAGAACCTTGTCTTAAAAAGCATTTGATGCTTTCAAAATATTTCCTGGTTGTTTCCACCCCAATGCATACCATAATAGTTGTTCCATCAGAAAAAAAGGAGCCCTTGGGAAAACATGAGGGGGGGATACAGTTTTCCCCCCTGAATTTTTCTGTCCCCCCCCCCCCAGGCTTCATATAGAGCTCCTGGCACTAATAGACCCAATAAGAATCTTTGTACACAATGTATTGATAGTTACAAGATGTTATGAGACCAATCTTTCAAGTGTACAGCTGTTACGAAATACAATCTTGCTAACTGTTACATTTCTATTTAAGTGAAATTGTCAGCGATTTAAAATTGCAGCCATTTTAAAAAGTACACACCAGAAAGCCTCAGTTGTCGGTTACGCTGCAGCTTCATCTGCCCTTTAATATATGTAGAGCAAGTCTCAGGGGCACAAGGGACAGGCAAGAATTTGTTAACAATCAAGTACTTAAACTTACCTCCTTTTATTATAAAGACCAGGGGTCATTTCCTGCAGGAGTGCACAGGAGCGGAGCTCTGGCAGTAAAGAGCCCAGGGGGCGGGCACATGCAATAAGCCCCACCCCCTGCTCCCAGCAGCCCTCAGTCAGAGCAAGAAGCAGCCAGGTAAGCTGCAGAGCCCCCCCCACCCCACTCAAAGCAGTCCAGTGGCACCTTTAAGCCCAAGTTTTATTCAGGTACAAGCTCTCACTCCTCTGCGAGGGCAGATCTGCACGTCTCCCCCCCCCCATAGCTAGCAATCCAAAACAGTCCAGTGGAGCCTGAGTGGTGGGTGTTGCCTTCTGACACACTTCTGGTGATGTCAGGAGGTGTGGCATATGGAAATAAGTTATGCTAATGAGTTATGCTAATGAGCTCCTGCACCTCTTTTTCTACAGGACCCCTGATAAAGACAATAGTAGAACCAGATTCAGGTGGGTAGCCGTGTTGGTCTGAAGCAGCAGAAAAATGTTTTCAGTCCACCCCAGTTTAATTCTGGGTTTAAGCTTCCTTGTGTACAAAGACTTCTTCAGATCGAGTCCAGTGGCACCTTTAAGACTGGCAAAGTTGTATTCAAGGCATGAGCTTTCGTGCGCACAAAAGCTCATACCTTGAAGAGAAGAAGAAGAAGAGATTGGATTTATACCCCGCCTTTCACTACCTGAAGGAGTCTCAGAGAGGCTTACATACTCCTTTC